AAGTTCACCGCACAAAGCCTGAAGTACCAGGAAAGAGCCAAATGCTGTAAGCAAGCTATTTTACGGTTCTACAGATCAAGATGCGAACGCGCCAGCCCTTTCTGTTATCTTGTTTTATTTAAATTATATATTACAAATCGCCATCAATCAGTGAGACGCAAACGAAAATTAGCCGTAGTGGGTGACACTTCATATCACTGCCAGCTGACCACCATGAAATCGAGAGTACCTTGAAGAATCAAATGACCACAGAACGGACCACGTCGCACGAACACGCAAATGTTTTGTCAGGAGATTAAATCGAGACCCCCTGAAATGGACCCACGCTTGATGCTGCCTAGTGTGTACAGCTCGGCTACAGTAGCTCCCTTTTTCCCTTCCAACTTCCCCTTAAAACGACAGTCCCTTCGACTCAGCCTGAGAACTCGACCCGTCAGAAGAGGTGGAAGGTTAAAAATAGTAGAACACTTCCTCGTCTGTCTAATTCAATTCGCTAAATGCAAAACTAATGTTTCTCCCTCTAACCATTTAATCTCGGGACCACAGTTCGGCCATAATTAGGTCTGCTGAAACAGCTTCATGCAAAGAAAGGGACCTCCCCGCCCCTTCCCCCCTCCCCCAAAACCGTATCCAGACCAGCCCCGTCTTTTCGCATATTCCTGACTTCCAGGCCAATCATTACCGCATACTGAAATATCCGAATAGAACATCGTAATTTCAGGAAGTGTGCTTCTACACTGACAGAGTCACCTGAATGCATCATTCGCAACGCTCATAGAAAGAAACAAAAATCACAGCTGAAATTAACAGAGAAGTGCATAAATTCAGCAATATGCTGCACCATTATAATAAATCATACGATACCGAGTAACGGAGCTGATCCTTGTTTTCCTAATGCTAAAAAACAGATGAAATTCACCTATCCCAATATAGGCTGGATTCAGAATTACTTAAAAAATCATCATGGAAACCCCACAAAATCGCTCAGCGCCCCTTCTCCCTAAAATATCCGAAATCACCCCCAGTACTTAAAAAAAAAAGGTAAAATTTAAGCACAAGATCCTACACAGCGCAATTCAAAGCAAAAACACAAGAAATAATCTCAAAAAGCACAAAAACCTCAGTCAATGAAGAAAACT